TAAGATACACATGCACTGTGTCCAAATGTCCTTTACATAAATGAGAAAAGACAGACCTTGAAGTTAAAGAAGAACCTTTAAATCTACTGAGAATGGTTCTTGGAATAATTTAAGAGGCACTGTGGGTGTTTTGTATCCTTGAAAACTCTTTGAATAGTGACTTTATATAGTAGATTATATTTAACTTTTGCTTATTCAGCTGTTTGCCAGAGACCACAGATTGTTTTATTCCTGAACTAAGAAGTCTGAAGTCCCATCGCACTCTGTTTTTACATACCTTTGCCTGTGTAAGACATTGAGGAAAAGGTGTCATTTCAAAAATACAGTTTCGTTACTCTTCTAAGTTCACTAGTGCCAACAAGCTGGACTTCTGTGGCTTTATAAATATATTTCAGTATTTCTCACTAGAAAAGGTATCTGTTGTAGAAGAGGTAAAGGACTAATAAATTCACTTCATTATGTCCAAAAGATAATCCAAGAGACACATTTACACAGGCATAGCTCTTCATGCTGCTTTTTACATGAGGAAAAAGGTACCGTAAAGGAAGTTTATAGGACACCTGACTTGATTTTACTTAAAATGTAGTGGTACCAGTACTTTAATATTAATATTAGTTTTTCCATTCGTGTAAGTAAACTTAGATGGTCTGCTTAAAGAACTTACATTTTTTTTGAAATAATTTTAATTTCAGATGATTTCACTGTGCATGTATTTTATAATACTTATATCACAGTTCTTATGTTCCTCTTAAATGTCATCACAGCAGTGAGTTTTAAAGACAATGTAGTCAACTCTACTTTTCTTGGGTAAAATGATTGTCACAATCAGACTATTACTGAGATATGGTGACACCATGCCTGAGACGTCCTGTGATGTGAAACAAAAAAGATAGTGACAATGACTCTAACTACCAGAATATAATACAGGCGTCATGGGATATGTGTGTTGTCACCTTACCTCTCCCTTGCTAGCCTTGATCTTGTTCGTAAGGCTGACGTCATTACTTATTCCTGCCCTTTCTCTCCTGTGGACACATAGGGCTGTGAGCTTATTTCCACTCCTGATCAAGACCACACCGACTTTACNATAATAGTAGTTGCAGCAAAAGTTTCCACCTAAACACTGGTATCTTAAGAATACTTTAAAGAGATTTGGAGTTACTGCTTTGGAAGGTTTCTGTATATTTTAAGGTAAAATATATGTATATCTATTAGGAAACTAATATTAAAAACAATGTACTAACTAGAAAGTGATATACTTCCTTAAATGGCCAAATCTCATAGCTTTTATATCTTTTTGGCCCTTGCATTGTTGAGTGTGAAGTTTTGGTTTTGCTTTGTTTTGCTTTTTAAGAAACCATTAAGTCCAGTAAAATTCTTCACAGCACCCAGTGTTCTGCTCCGGGAAATGGAGTCTTATTCTGTGTTAATAATCATTACAAATAGATATTAATAATATGTAATAGGTGAGGACTGCATGATACCTTACAGCATTTCTACAGTTTTCTTTGTCTGCAGGATCTTCGTAGTTTATCAGTTCAGTTTTATAGTTCTCCTCTTTTAGGTCTTCATATGTCACCATTAGACCCAGAAGCAGTGAAAACATCTTTTGTTGACCTAAGTCCTGATTACCGCACTTTGGTGACTATTTTGTTGTATAGGCCTCTTTCTGGAGCTTGAAAGCTGTCCTGCCGGGGCTATTGGAGCTGTTTCCACTTCTAGTGAATTCATTCTCAATCTGTGATGAGATGAAAATAATTTAAACTCATGAAAATTCCAAGAAGCAGTGGATGGGTGATAAACACCTCACACTGAGTTTCTAGAAGTTCTTGGTTTAGCTATAGTCTGTGTTTTTTAGTGCTGGCTATCTGTCTCCACGTCCTGACTTAAGCTTCTCTGTGTGTCCATCTTTAATTGTTGGGGTAAAGTAAGATGTTATTGAAGACTTGCTTTTATGTTTCAAGTGTTTTTGTGTGGTTTTTTTTCATGATTTCATTCCTGTGGAACCAACTCTAGAGATGTTATATGATGCTTTTCTATTAGGTATCTAGGAATTTGTTCTCACTTCACAGGAGTAAAGCAATGGGATGTCTAGATGGGACATTAATGCTACTTACTACCTAGCTGTAAAGTGGTTAGCAAGTCAATTTAAATCTCTTGTTATTAGTTTCTCAATCTACAAAATATTATAGTGGGACTAGATAATTTCTTGGGTTCTCATGAGCTGTAATTTTTCCTGTGGACTGGTGTTGATTCTGTGAAGATACATTTAAGGTAGACAGCCATCTATTAATCATCTGTTTTATTGCTATTTCTATTTGCCTTTTTAATTTTGTTTCCTCTTACTGGAGAGATTATTTCTGTTGTCAGCACTTAAAAGAAGTAATTTTCCATTGTCTTATTATGTACTCTATTTAGCAATAAGATGCCACACTCTCCTACCCCTTTGCCAGCGTACATTTTTATTCCTCAAGAATGTTATTTAGGGCCAGCTGAGTGGCACGTTGGTTAAGAGTTGGCTTGGGATGCCAGTTCTGAGCAGCAGGGCCCTGGTTTGGATCCCACATGAGGGCCAGTGACGCTCGCCCTCTATAGCTAAGATGGTGAAGAACAGCTCGACCTGGAGCTGGGCTGCCATGAGTTCCTGGTGATGGCATAGGCTGCAGCAGGGCTGCAGTGGGCTGCCATGAGCTACCGTGAGTGGCTGGCAGCCAGCGTGAGCAGCCAGCAGCTGGTGTGAGCGGCCGTCCAGAGGCTGGTGACTGATCTGCCTCACCCAGGAAGAGTGCAATGATAATACCAACATGGGCCAGT